GCCCCGCCCCCGCCGCCATTCGAAGCCGTCAGGACGGCGCGAAGCTTGCGCAGATTCAGCAGCAGGTCGACGAGGTGAAGCATATGATGCAATGCAATATCGGTACTTACGCCGCACACACGCGCCACCACCGCACACGACACACGCCGCACACTCGCGAGTAGTTCTAGAACTGGCTCACACGTTGTTTGCTGGGCAGCACAAGTCCTGGAGCGTGGAGAGAAACTCGAAGATCTGCAGGTGCACACAGAAGCGCTCGAATCGGGCGCGATGCAGTTCCGCCGCAGCGCATCTTCCATGTACGTCGACACACCACACGACGCACACAACACGCACACAACACGCACACATCGCACACAGTGACGTGGCAGGCAGCAGCCCTTTGACACATCATCCGCCCACAGGAAATCGGGCGGCATTCTCTCGTCGATCAGCAACGCCTTTTCGTCCGTCCTCGGTATGGCCCCAAAATTGTTTTTTGTTTTATTTCGTTCGTTTTGCTTTTGGATTTGTTTATTATTTATTCTTTTTCATGTTATTTGTGTTTTTTATTGTATGATACTTCCGGCGCAGGGCGTGGCTCGGCTGGACCTGCTCGGAACCAATCGGGAGCGGCCAACCCTGACGAGTCCTTCGACGCCGATTTCACCTCCGGTGCGCATCGTGTGCGATGATGCGTGTGCGATGATGCGTGTGCGATGATGCGTGTGCGTGTGCGTGTGCGTGTGCGTGTGCGCTTGTGCTGACAACGTTGTTTTCTTTCCCCACCACCGCAGACGGCAACCAGATCGATTCGATTCTGTCCAGGCGCCGCGCAGTGGCGAGTGACAACGACGACGAAGAGTCAGAAGACTGGAGCGACGGGTCCTGCGGCGATTCAGAGAAGGAGCTGAAGGCCGAGAGGGAGAAGAAGAAGGCGGAGAAGGCGGACAAGAAGAAGAAGAAGAAGGCGAAGAGCAGCAGGAGCAAGAAGAACAAGCACGCCACGGCGTCGGCGTCGACGACGACCTTCTGCGGAGCTGCGGAGGCCGAGCAACTCATGGGTAACTGCTTCGACGACTTTTCCGCCGCCGAGCCGCTCTCGGCCCCGCTCTCTGCCGACCCGTTCGCGGGCTTCACCTTCCAATCCGCCGCGCCCGCCCCCGCTCCGGTCATGCAGGCGTCGGCCTCGGCGAGTAGCAGCGCCCTCGACTGCTTGTCGCTCCCGATCGGCCGCTGGGCGGCGCCGGCTGCGCACATGCGACCGCTCGATCGCTTCGTCCACCACCAGAAGGCCAACGGTAGTGTGTGTGTGTTGTGTTGTGTTGTGTTGTGTTGTGTTGTGTTGTGTGTGTTGTGTTGTGTGTGTGTGTGTGCGTGCGACGTGTGCTGATGAGAAAGTGTGCGTGTCGTGTCGTTTGGTGACCGATGCAGGGAGCTGGGAGCTGAACGAGAACCTGGCGCAGGCGCTGGGTCGTGGGTTGGCCGAGCTGGTGGCCTCCGTCCCCGCCGACGTGTCGGCAGACCTGTGGGCCACCGCCCTCGCACTCACCGCCCTCGACTCCCAATTCGCCGCCGAGAAGGAGGTGCGTGTCCTCCCCTCAGTCGCGCGTGTTGTGTGCGGCCGTGTGCGGTCTGGTGTGTGTGCGGTCTGGTGTGTGTGCGGTTGCGAGTGGTGGGCTGATGATCGATCGTGTGCTATTGATGCGAGCAGGAGTGGGAGCTGTTGGCGGGCAAGGCCAGGAGGTGGCTCGCGCGCGAGCTCAAGAAGGCCGCCACGTCGGTCGACGCCCTTCTCGCCGCCGCCAGCGCCTTCCTCCAGGCCTAACCTGCGTGCTTTGCCATTGGCCTCAAATTTTAACGTTGCCCACACGCCGTTCGCTTTTGGCCGGTTTTCAAATAAAAATAAAAATGTAAACACTTGTGGAGAAGTTGGTGATCATCGCCAGCATCAACACAAAAAGGAGGGTGGATGGTCGCGTGATGGGCGCTTATGGATAACCCCTTAACCACTCGGGCACCGAACCAACTGGTTCGGGTCGGATTCGAACCAACGATGATGAATTCAATTATGTCTTGTACGAAGTAACCCATTCATCCAATGCATCCACTCCGCCCAACAACACCCTACACTTGTCTACACCCCCAAAAAAATGTTTTGATAATAATAAATCATATTTATATTATTTCTATTATGAAAGTGTAGCGTGTCGTACTACCCGCTCACTGGTCCTGGATGGCGCCCAGCTCCTTCATGTCCTCCAGGAACGACAAGTACGCCTCGTCCGTCTCCGGCTTCGCTTCCGACTTTTGCTCGGCTTCGGCTGACACGACACACACGACACACACGACACACACGTCGTCAGCCGATCGGTGGTGGGGGTACGCGTAAGACGCGGGGGGCGTACTGGCGGCAGCGGCGGCGGCTGGAGCCTTTTTCTTGGTGGCGGTGGAGAGGAAGGAGAGGGAGGGCTGCGGGGCG